TAAAGCCCAATATAAGCTCATAATCATGACCTGTCAGATTTTTTTTTTTCTTTTCTCTCCCATATTTCGTCTCTGTTATAGGTTTAACTTCCGTCTCGTCAATTTTCTCCTGGGCTTTAGTTTCGCTAACTTCTTCCGATGCAGGCACTGCGGGGTTTACAACTCCGGTATTATTAGCAACATCTGGGATCGGACTAGACTGTCCCTCATCCGCTCCTTGTGCAGTGCTCATGATGAGGCAAACTTATGATAAAAAGGTTTTATGCTGAAAGTGTAAGTTCGAATCACGTATGTATGTATATAATATGTTGGCATGTGGCGATAAGGCTACTTAAAAAGGAAATTGAATATCTTCAATTGGGTACGTACGTACGTACGTAGTGCGAGTTATGGCGTAGATATCAGTGTCGCGTTAAAAAAATTGAATAATTTAAAAAAAAATAACGATAAATAAGGCCATACAAACTTAATAAATCGGTTCTCATAACCCGGCCGGGTCAAAATGTTCAAATTTTACAAAACTTTAAAAGTATATTTACTATCCGGGTGGGTTTTTCTAAAAAAATTTATATAAAAAATTTTATGTTTTTTTATACATAAAATTTTTTGAAAATAAAATTAAAAGCCGGGTTGCCGGGTCGCTTTCAAAAATTTTATGTTATGAGGACCGATTTATTAAGTTAATCTCACCACACCAGTTAAAGGATGGAATTTCACATTTTTCCTTTTGATAAAATTTCCAAAACAAAATGTCACGACACAATTGCAGTGTCTTTGTCCTGTTAAAATGGTTTGGTTTTGGACATTTACAAAGTAACATGCACCGTTATAAATTATCTAAAGTTGTATTACATTTCTTTAGCTTACTCTCAGAATTAGCTAGTACAGACTTGCATGTGACAGTAATTATTACTAATTATTACCAAATGCAAGAAATATAATTAATATAATTGTGTATATGCAGTGTATTACCTTCGGTTAATTAACGTTAATGTATGGACTACAGTAAGTACGCACGTCCGTACGCAGAAATGAGATGTGCTAAAACATTGTAATTTTTATCGTTATAGATGGGTATTAAAAACCAGGTGATCAATATCAAATATAAAGTAGATATGGGTATTATGGCGCAGG